TGCCCCGGCCGCACGCTGGGTCTCCCGCCCGAGGCGCAGCTGCTGCGGTGGTATACCGCCATCACGGGGTACAACCCGCAGCCTGACATGAGCTGGGGCATGGCGTTTAATATCTTCAAGCTGGCCGGTGTGTGCCAGGGCATCGCGGCCAGGTACGCGAGGAGGCAGGCGAGCAGTGAGAAGGCGAAGCAGCATGCCGTTACGAGGGTGCCCCTGGCTGAGTTTGCGTGGGAGCTGATCCAGGAGGCCGACGGCAAGGCTGGGTCGAAGCTGTAGAGCCCGGAGAGTTGTATATGAGATGATGTGGCACGGAGTTTTACGAGTTGGAAGCACCTGTTTATTGACCCGTGGTTTTGGGTACATGTGAAATGATGCCGAAAGTCAGATTACTGGAACGTGACGTGATGAAGAGGTTGGATGACTCCGGCAGGCTTTGGCTGTACTAAGCTGTGTGTGCGCTGAGCTTATCGGACCTTTTGGTTTCCTCGGTGATGTTGCCTTACGGGATGTGAATGTGACGGACTTGTTAATCTAGCTTCAGTGGACCCGGGTCTCTTGTCTGACTCGAGGGTTGCTCAGTCCGGTGCACTTACTACACATCTCTTTATGCAGCACTGTAACGACATTTTTGCACAACCACGGACAACAATTGGGGCACGAGAGGCCGGTCGTTGGCACTTTGGTGTTGTAGCATAGCTGAGACACGCGATGCATAATGGTCTGGTGGCACCGGGTGGCGAAGCATTCTATTGGTGTTCCCCGCATGGCCCCAAGCAGGCAAGCACAGGGTTGCATAATAGCATTGACCGCTGGAAGCAGCCTGGTTGTTGCATCGCTGCAGCCCAACGGCGCGATGACGCACTGACCGACTTGCCATGGGCCGGCCACATGCAGGCTTCAATTGAGCTGCTTCAATGCTGCTTTGTCTCCTTTAGTCCACACGTGCCTGCCCGCGCCGCCTCCATGCTTCCATGCCCACCAACCCTCCGCCCTCGTAGGTAACATCAAATACCATAATCTCGCCGTTACACATTGCATCTGCAACACCTGTGCGTGCTCGTCTTTTCATGGCCCCGGACCGCAAGCGGCACATTACCCTGCCGCCGCTGCCTGTTGAAGAGCGCCGCCCTTTGCTGGGCAGCCTGGATTCCGACTACCATGGCGCGAATGATGACGCGGGGGAACAGATGTACAGCTGTATGACGAGTCCACATAGCCATTTACCTGTGTATACCAATATTCATCGAATTCGGAGAGACATTCTCAGCGTTGTCGAGGATTACCTGAGTCTGGAGCAGTTGAGGGATGTGAGGATAAACGTCACCGTTATCAGGCCCTTGGTGGACAAGTTTTATGAGTTGGATGATATTTCCATCAGTAAGTTTGCATTCTTCGAATCTTCCCCCCCTTCTTCTCCTCCCGCCCCCCCC